TTTTTTCCATTTGTCAACAATTCTAATTTGGATTAAACATATTTTAATTTGTCAAAAAAACTAACTGCTATAAAAAAAGTGTTTTTTTTTTTTTTTTTTTTTTTTCAAACTTTGTTTTAAAATCATAAATGGGGAATGGGTTCCTCTCCATTTTTAAAACAACAACCTAACCTCCTTTTATATATACAAAAATGAGGTGTTTTTTTTTTCTCCTAACATCTCGCTAACCAAAAAAAAAGGGTGATGTGGTGTGGGGTATGCCTGATGCGCATCTTTTTACAATTTTAGGTTGAAAATGATTTTATACTTTTTTTTTTTTTTTTTTCTTCCCTTTGAGGTTGGGGGTTCTTCTATTAATATTTTTTTTTTTTCTAAAACTGCATGCATAAATAGCATTATATAATAATATATGCCAAAATAAGTACTGACAAAATTATGCACTTCTGTTATGGATCGCACTTGAGAAGTGCTTTATTAATAAATATTAAAATATTTTTCCGTGATACTTTCTCATCTCTTCTTTTTATACTGTTCTTTTATTTTTTTGTATGCGAGCATTTTTTTTTTTTTTAATTAAGAGGTAGAACTAATCTATGGACCCACTTTTTAAAATATTTTTTTTTTAAGACCACAATTTAGAGCTCTACCGTCATTAGGGATACAATTATAAATATATTTATAAATATATTGGTTTATTTTTTTTTAACAGTCTTAGAACCTTATTAAAAAAGTATCATTCGTCAGAAGAATTTTGAGGGAAGCCCCTTAGTTTTAATCGCCTGCTAAATGGGCATAATATATATCACATCCTCCTGGGGTATGTCCAAACGGATCGTAGGACAATCAATGGGCGCACAGCACAGCCCCCCTACGTGCATACGTTATGCGTACAATTTATATATAAACGTACAACTTAGTCCATGTACCATTTTGCCGCTTGTGCTTGCGAGATAGCCAGCCAAAAAAAAAAAAAAAAACAGCCACTATTTTATAATATTACTATCATATAACCTTCCTCCGCCCACCAGATGATACATACTTTTTTCAGAAGACTCACACGCCAAGAAATTTTAAAGAGAAATTATTTTTTTTTTTCCTACATATGTTACCTAGCCCATTTCTCACGTTCATAATACCCATCAAGCCCAAATCCCCCTTTTCATCATCTCTCTTCCCGTGCAGCTAATATATTATTTATATATAATACATAAATGCATAAATACATGAAGATAATATTATTAAGTACATATATACATTTGCTATACCTACATTTATAATACGTATGCATTGGAGTTATGTGGCTAGAGAAGGTGATAGGGTAAGGTCTTTAGAAACGTAACCTAAAAAACCAATCTTTTTTTTTTTTAGCATCGCACTTTTATTATAACAATAATAATAGCATGAGCCGCCACGCTGTAGCCTAAACCCTGAACCCTGAGGAAGAAGAAAAAAGCAATCCGCGACCTATTATCCGTAGCAGCGGTATCGCAGTAAGCACATCCTGTTACAACCTCGTAAGACGGACATATATACATATATATATGTATATATTAGAACCCCTTAGAGAGTCGTCACCTTATTTATAAACGTTTTCCCAAGTCATTTATCACAATGGAGAAAGGCTTAAACTTTATTGGAGACCTGTCCGAGGAATTACAGAACACCGCCACGAAAATCCTACCAGACATCAAGGGAGACGTTAAGGAGTATAAAGAATTCATGGACAAAGTAGTAAAGAATATTCGTGCCCCCAATGACGTTACCACCTTATTCGCTTTATGCGCAATATCTGCAATTATTTTTATATACAATATAAGCAAAATGCTTGGTGCCCTCAGGACCCATACGCTCGCCAAATTATTAGTAGTTTACATGGGCCTCTACATGGTTGCTTATTATAGCGGTTTTACTGGGAAATAAAAAAAAAAAATAAAAAAAAAAAAAATAACCGGTGCAACCATATATATATGAAACCTGTGTTTATACCACATACACCTAGCAGTACTCCCATTTAGCTCAATATAAAAATGCCAATTGTGAGCAAAAAAAAAAAAAAATGTACAGATTATCCCAAATGAAGCACATCAGGCTATAATATTAAACGTGCCTGTCCATATGATTATAACGGTAAGTGCGACATGTGCTGTTGCGTCTCCCGGAGCATATTCTTTATGCATACCTGTGCATGTGTATATGTGTTGCCGCGAATGAAATTTTTTTAATAACCCAGCAGCTTCTATTCTGTTTGTTTGTTTGTTTAAATATCTCTACAACGTGATGTTTTTATTTTTTTTTATCCCCATATTTGTTCCCTTTTGCCCTCAATGCACTGAATTTTCCGCGCGCATACCCGTCCCTTTTTTTTTTTTTTTTTTTTTTTTTTTACGTACCCAATTTTGATTCACCGCAATTAAACCAAGTTGCGCATTACAAAACACTGCCCACGAATAATAATCATATGTCCGCTGTCACCAATTTGGTATAACGTTGAAGCATACTTTTTTTTTAAACCTATACCTATGCGCGAGTTTTGCCCAAGGGGGGGTGGTAAAACCACTTATATATACCCCCTACCCCTACGTATGTATACACACAATGAAATTTTCTACACATGTGCGCACGTACTTACGTATATACACGTACAAAAGCGTGTGCCCATTTGTTGCGTTATCATTTTTATGCGTCAACGTGTGAAGCCCCTTCCAGAAGGGAGGCACACACAAAAAAGGTGCAGTGTGCAGTTTTTCACAAGGTTATCCGATGCTCACCCGCCCACCTGTAGAGTTCATACGCGTAGGGGTGAACTGAATTGGTGCAATGAGTCCCATCCCTGTCCTGGGAAATCCTTTCTCACTTTGTTTTGTCTCATTTTGCTTTATCTCATTTTGTTCCAATTGGAAGGCTGTCACCGTTCATGCGGCTCCGTACAAGCTGCGCGGGCATCATAATGAGGCCAAACACAACTCCAGCCCTGTCCACATGTCCATACCATATAGAAAAGCGTACACGAACGGACACGCGACAGAATTATCCCCCCACACACACACCGATAGAGAAATCATAACGCCAAGCAGCAACGCATGTGGTGGCCACTTTTGTGGAATGTCTCGCTACACATCAAAATAAATAATTCCCGAATTCGGCGGGAAAAAAAAAAAAAAATAATTAAAAAAAAATAAGGCGCCTTTTTTTTTTTTATTACCCATTTAGCTGGAAAAAGATATAAAACGGAGCAGCTTATTTTGCGATTAATAACATTTTTAAAGGAATAGCGATATAAAATGCAGCACACATCAACCCGTATTTTCCAACTTGATTAACCCCATTTAACCAATTTTTTTTTTTTTTCCTTCTCCATGGGAGTCAAAATGTATGCTATGTTATATGGTGAAAGAGAGGTTATACACATCCGATAGCCTTCGTGAACGTGCTACTTTCTTTATTCCTCCTCACATTTTTATATGCATCATTTTGTAAAGGAGAAAAATTAAATCAAGCAGAAAGCGTTTAACTAGCATATCTAACATGTACGCATGTATGTATGTATGTATGCATGTATTTACAGCAGCTGTTTTTTTTTTTTTTTTTTTTTTTCACACATAATTTTTTATGAAAAATTCAGGGCAGAACATGGTGTACTTACTAGCGAAAAATATATAACGCGGGTCACTTGTGCAACACGTTCGCAATTGTGACATTTCATTTTGTATACGTCTTTACGTAATCGTATTCTGGACAAAAAAAGGTCATTCAGCACATAATAGCACAGTCAGTATATTTTATAACACTCCCACCCCCCTCTGTTCATTTAGCACGAGGGCAGGAAATTGAACGCATGGTATTATTTTTATAACTTACGCAGATGACCGAGCCATATCTTTTTATTTGTAAAACGTAAAGTAACACATCATGGTGTACTTGCATGCCATACATACAATAAATCATATATAAACCTTCATATGAATTCATATATAAATATATATAAATGGTGATAAGCAAAAAAATACGAGCGCACGCTTTACTTGACCTTGCTACATTAAATATATATTGTTCCAATTAAACATATTTCCTCGACCCGTGTATGAAAGAAGGGCACTGCTATAAAAAAAAATAGGGTCCTTTAAAAAAAATATTTCTTAGAGAAAAAACCTACACATTAAATACCGAACCGTTTGTACAGGGAAATGCAATTTTTTTAAAGCAGCGGAATGGAAAAATTTGGGATGGAACAAAAATTTTTTTTTTTTTATTATCGCGTCTCCGTTCGCATGAGCGTCACTGCTGTAATGAGCTATCGTTGTTATTGCTTTCGCCTTTGCTTTTACCTTTACCTTTTCCTTTACGTTTACTTTACCTTTTATGTTTACTTTACGTTTACCTTTGCGTTTACTTTACGTTTACCTTTGCGTTTACTTTACGTTTACCTTTGCGTTTACTTTACGTTTACCTTTGCGTTTACTTTACGTTTACCTTTGCTTTGCCTTTACTTTCCCTTTACACTTTCCCCTGTACCTTCGCATTATCCCCTTGCCACATTTTATCACTGCTAGGGTTAGAAGAAAAAATTACGCGAATGAGAATGCTCGTTTTTTTCCCCCCCCGTCGTTTTTATATAGAAAAAAAAAACAAAAACACAACAAAATTCTTTATATTTTGTTTGTTATTACTTCCATTTGTATATAATAGAATGTTATTATATGCCCCCCACCTCATTAATAATTCTTGGCACACTCGATATATTAGTATGTTCTTCCCTGCCTGTTTACACTCTCCCGCTTTTATACATACGTGTACATATAACCACAGAATGTAACTGATAAATTTTGTTAGAACCCATATTAGTAAAGAGCTTCTTACGTAATGAAAACCGATTATTATTTTGTCCTTTCCAAACCCATTTGATTTGAAATTAACTGTGGAGAAAATAACGCCAAACAAAAGTAATACTAACTGAAGCAAGTGAGTATGGTCGGACGCGCCGTCATCCGTCTCCCCCCCCCCTCCCCACGTTAAGTGCACGTGTGAATAAGGTACATATATAATAAATGAAATATTATGTGTGAATCGCATTTGTGTTGCACCTTCTGGGTGCTTCGTAGTTGGCGCTACCTGCATTATGGGAGTAACATACTTATGTGAACTCGATACATTTGTTATACACCCATTTGTGTGTATACTATACTGTCCTGCCAATCTATGCCCTGAACTAATATATAAAACATCTACACCGATTGTACATGTAGAATTTCTGCTTCATGAATCTTTTCTCCTTATTGAACCCAATTTTTACCTTAACTTTTTCTTCCTGTTCGTGTCACAGTTTCTATTTTTAAAACCTCATTTTTTTTTTTTTTTTTTTTTTGCAGATCCCTACATGTACAGGGGTGTGTGGATATTCATATATATGGAACCTTCGCCATTGGCATAACCAAATTTGGAAAAGCGCGCATGCGCGCGTGTGCGTAGGCACATTGATACCTTATAGCACCCTATGGGAGAAATATAATAATAATAATAGAACAAGAAGAAGAAGAAGAAGAAGAAGAAGAGGAAGGGAGTGCCCTGTTGTTCCCATTCTTAAATGTGTTGCGAAAATTATAACTGTTTTAAAGCATGGTACTTCAGGATCAGTCAGCTGTGTCTTCAACGCGAAAGTCCGTATATGGGTGCAAAAGGAGAGTCAAAAAGTTTGTCACGAGCAAAACTACACCCAAGGGAGCGGATAAAGGCGCAGGCAAAGGCGCAAGCAAAGACGGACAAAGGAGAATCACAAAATGTATTACAAACTGTATTACCACCCCTGTCGCACCTCACACAAACCAGAAAAATGACTCTAACAGAAGCAACAATTCCGTGAAATGGGCCCTGTCTAAGCCCAAGGTGATAATCGTACCCCTCCTGGCCATTTTATACGTCCTATCATTGGTAAGGCCATAACGAACAAGTGCATGCGCTGAAATAGGCCTCTCTTTTTTTTTTCCTCCCCCCCCTCTTCGTGACATTTTGCAGATATGTAGACTTAAATTACAACACCCATGTAGCAAAACGCATACAATGTGTGTTTACACTCATGCCAGGAACGCTGCGTTCTGTCCTAATTAACCCCTTTGCTCATACACATATGTGATAACCCCTTTTTTTTTTTTTTTTTTCCAATGACCCCCTCCACAGCATGGCGTGTTCTGCCCTCAAAAGGACTTTCATCATTCGAGATCGCTAGTTGAACAAAATGCAATCCCTGTTGTATATATGCCCAACCTAGATATTTCGCCACCTGTAACTTATGCTTGCGCCCCCTCGGTTATTGAGGTCTGGGCAAATAGTAACGCAAGGTCGGGAACTAATAAGAAATTAAAAAATGCTCTTAAGAGAAGTGTTAGTGAGAAAAATTTTAAGAAGAGATTCAAGTGGACATGGCCTAAAATATCAAAAAAGTTTGTCGACGCATCAAGAGGAAATGAGTTGAAAGAGGATCCCAATCAACCTCGTGTTCTCCTGACCTGCCATGATCTACACAGCCCAAGTCATATGCAGTACCCACTTGATCTATCTAGTCCGCAGGATGTGCGTTCTTCCCCCGGTTCATTGGCCCCAACGGATCACCAAGATGCATATGAGCCACGGGCCACCCAAACCCCGTATGAACCACTAGCCACCCAAACCCCGTATGAACCACTAGCCACCCAAACCCCGTATGAACCAGTGGACAATCAAAACACATATGATTCACGAAATGCCCATGACCCACCTGGTGCATATTACCCAAGCGATGCAGAAATAAAGAACAGCATTTACAACACCATGAAGGAACCCCAAACGATAATAGATTTAGCGTCCTGCAAAACCCTTACGCCAAAGGAAAAAATCGAGTTCTTCTTCTACAGCACGAGCAGCTATATATATTTTACTCAAGAAATGAAGAAACGAATTTTCGCAACTGGTCCCTTAGTGACAAAAAAATACATGGCGGAAATCTTTTTTGACTTATGTGATGAACAGAAGAAAAACTTCCTCTTCATGAAAGAAACCATGGCCAAAATATCCTTCATGTTAGCTGATCAATTTAATTTACCAGAGGAAAAACGATCAAAATGTTGGACCCAAGTGGATAATAAACTTAACAAAGTAATGAACCAATTTGATCTTCGTGATCGTGCTGACTTTAATCATTTTCTGATGCAAAAAAAACGTCACGCTGCTGAAGATTTTGAAAGTTTTATCGAAAACAGAATTTGCTTATGGAACAAAATTACCAGAGAAAATAGATATGAATCCTTTTTAGAATTGTGTACAAATTTAAATAAAAATTCCTTAAGGAACAAATGTGCAGATCATGATAATAATTATCAACCTCAACAGTCAAGTGACTGTTATGCTGCTAGTAACCCAGACGTGTCCAATAACGCCATGAACACCAATACCCGGGTCATGTCCCATGAAACCCCTACTGCTAGCACCCCTGTTACGCTTCACAACACTGTAAATGTCGCAAGTTCTCCTTCACAATACAGCAACGTCAACGTGAACAGCGGCAACGTCAACAGCAGCAACGTAGAAAATGGACCTGTGCCCTGCAACAGCACCAGTGTCGCAACTAAGCCCATGCCATGCGCTACCTTTAGCCCTAGTAGGCCCACTGTGCAGCCATCTCAGTACAAAAGTTCGAATGCTAATGTTACTACCTCCGTGCCCTCCAACACTTTGAATGCGAACCCCCCATCCACCCCGCCTTACACGACGAGCGCAACTGTTACACGTGTACCATACAGCAATTTTAACCCTACCATCTGCACCATACCACAAGGCACACAGACCCCTAACGCCGCCGTAATACCGCAAACCACACATACACCTACCATCTCCACCATACCGCAAACCACACATACACCTACCATCTCCACCATACCGCAAA